TAACCGACTGTTTTTGTAACTCGTGTGTTTTTAATGTAAACTTGTGTGTGAATGAGAACTTTAGAAAGTTTAGTTTGAAAGTTTAGTACTCACATGCTGTGACAGCCGCTTTCTGTGCGTGTGCTTCGGATGTGTGCGCTCAGAAAACCGTATATCAGAAGTTTAAACTCGTATGGTTTAAAACGCATGATTTCAGCGAAATAAACATGATAATCAGAACCAAAACAGATGTTTTTAGCAGATACGAGCTGTAATGGCGCAGCTCTATTCTGGAAAAGGAGGCGGGGAGCAGCAGCTCATTTGCATTTAAAGACACAGGCCCGAAAAACAGCTTGTTTCTGCTTCAACTCAAAATAGGCATTTTCTAAATTATATAATAAAGGATCTGTGGAGTATTTTGAGCTGAAACTTCACAGTCACATTCTGGGGACACCACAGACTTATATTACATATTGTAAAAAGGGGCATAATATGCCACCTTTAAAGCTTAGAGTTAGGAATAAGCACGTAAAATGATTTATTTGCCAAACGGCAGTAATTTTCTGTAACTCTACATCGGTGACGGAAGCTTCCGTGTAAGTGGATTCTCCGCAGCTTTGGCGCCTCTACTCTGTCGCTGTGACTCGTCAGAATTGTAGCGCGTTCTCAATTACCGAAAATCACACTGATGCAAAACCAACTCGACTAAATCAAAAGAAAAAAACAGTGTAACTGTATATTTTTATGTTTTCTCAAGCAAAGCAACATTTGCAACGTTGCAACTTATTATTCTTATATATTATAATATATTATTTTGGGTACTCTGCATATTGGAGTAGTGTCACCCGTGTGGGAGTTTTAACTCCTATATACTGGGAATTAAAAAAAAAATCATTCAGTCCATGCAGAGACATACAGACCGGGGGAATCCTCCCCCATCTCCCCACCCTCTGAATATTGCGTATCATAACGTAACTACGTGTAAACGTCATTTATTTGGCGGTTTTTACTTGGAAAACCAGCTATATTTTTTCTAGCATTCGAATAACAATGGATAAACCTGAAACGATAGAAGAAGGATTTAGAGATGAATTTTATTTACAAATCATGTAGGAAATGTGCATACTTTTAAATCGACACCTGCCACGGTGTTTCTTATTCGTTATCTGTGATCCCTCTTTGAGTGTGTTCTAAAAGCCGATGGGGGGTGAGAGGGTGGGGGGGGGTTGTGTGTTAATCTTATCACTCAGCATACCCGGTTAAAAAAAAAAAAAGTCACCGCTCGCCACTGCACTACACATACACATTCCTATAGACTGAACATGTCATATGAATGCGCATGACAGCATTTTCACAAAGTCAAATTTTCGTAGTTTTCACAGAAACAAAAATGGTACCATTTTAAACTTGCACTTTGAAAACTGTTTTCAAAAGTTTAAGTTTTTAGCTCCTCAAAATGCCATTGTTGAGTAAATGAACGACTAAAATGCATTAAATATTTTCCCTTTTCAGTGTCGTGTAAACACCCCTAAAAACAACATTTTTTAGTAAATCTTATTATTTTCCTATTATTTTAACTGTTGCTTATCAGATTTTTGATAAGAGCCTGCATGGTAGAAGCTTGTGAGAATGCCAAAGCAGATTGCATGACATTAGCAGACATTTTACCCATATAAACCTATGGAAAATCATAAGTAATTTATCATACGCAAGCCAATGATATTAGCAGTTAACCACTATAATATAACAGTGACACTGACCTGCATTTTTCAGTGTGACAGAGGACGGTTGACTCCCTCCAAAGATCACAATTTTTTCTATCCAAGAGGCAGTGGAAAACTGGGAGTCTGGGGCCAGATTTCTGAGGAAACAAAAATAAAAAACAGATAGATGAGGGACCAAATGATTAGAAACAGCATGGCATTGCTGTTTTTTTTAAATCTAAATTAACACCAAAAAGAGCTATAAAGAAAAAGAGAGCAGACCGACCTGGAAGACAGCGTGTTGGCGGAGAAAGACAGATGTCTGTGGACAAACTGCTTTGCTTCTTCAAAGCTGAAGGTATGGAAGTCATCGATGTACAGCTCTCCTTCAGCAGAACCCTGAGGCACAAGACAGCAGTGAATGTGAAGCGCTACTAAACACAGATGAAAACAATATCCATGTATATCAAATATGAAAAGTTGATTTCTGTTTGGATTTCAGAACTGAATACGTGTATAAGAGTCAAAATTTGCTACGGGGAACCACAGTTTTACAACAGCATCTGCATTTTCATGGGTTTAAATAAAAGATATTTGTTATAAGAGACAAAAACAACTTTGTGCATCAGAAGTTAACGTATTTGTGACAGGTGAATGTAACATTTTTGACAAGCCAAAGCTGTCAGTTTCTGAGTAACATGCAATGTATTTAAGCCATAAAATAAAGCCACAAACCCCACTTCGAACATCTTCGGCATGTTTTATAAATATCCAAAAATCAATCATTTTCACCCCGTACGCACGTCATAACGTCCATCAAAAACTTGCTGACTGTCAGTTGGAATATTATAACTTACAACATCGACATAACACACTCATGGGCATCACTCATTCCACTGAATATCTACCAGCTAAGAAATAATTATTACCAATCCATCGGTTCTCAAATCACATCATTTGAACATCAGAGCATCAATGTCTGTCAAAACATAACGTGCAGAATACACAGTAGTATGTACCATTGAGAGGGAGAAAATAGCAGCCTAAGCGTCTTCAACATGCTGTTTGTCAAAGACGATAACATGCAGAATACATAACACACAAGTGTATTTGTTCGTCACTCACTGAAATTAAATCGGATTGATCAGGGAATTGAGTGAAATACTTCAATGCATGTTAAAGAGAATAAATGCCAATCCAATTGAAAAACCTCACTGGGATAGTGAACATTGTTCAACATGTGTTGGTTTTGACAGACATTTTTTAATGTTCAACTACAAATTCTGATTCTAGCATTCATGATTTCAATATTTTGATAATATGTAAGCATAGATTCTGGAACTTGACAGGTGATTTGTATAAACTGTAGTTTGAATATTATCTTCTTAGTTTAAAATATTAAGGCAATTATCAAAGTTTGATAAAAGGTTGAAAACCTTACATGATTTGTTACATTTAATTACCCCTTAGCAGATTTTGACTCCTATATGTACTAGGATAAACTGAATCACCTGAGAACTGAGCGCAACATAAAGAGTGTATGGGTCATTCTCCATACAGGATGAAGATCTCCTAACACGGTCTTTCCTGCAAATAATGGACCCTCCTCGCTGGAAAACTGGGATCTGAAACACGAGACAGAGAAAGTAGAGATACAACACAGAAAAGCAGGATTTAGCTGTCTGAGAAATACTGAAACACAAAATATTGCTGCAATTATAGAAAACATTGAATTAAGTTGCAAAGTAAAAATCCATTTGACCTGTCATGGTAAGGTCTGAAAATCATCTGAAACAAATTTGAGTAACATTAAAAAAGTCAAAATGTCTAGACTCACAGAGCTCATGGTGACAGGAATGTAGAGGCTCTGATCTCCATCATGCTTCTGGAAAGTGTGAACATCATACCAGACCTACAAGAGAAACCCAGAGAAAGTGTTTGAGATTTTAGAGAGACTTGGAAGAGATAAAAATCCATTCAGACTGTGCCATTCAGTGTTGAAAAACACATTACCTCGCCTTTCCCAGGCAGATAGGCTGTAACACCAGTAGCACCCTCATCAGTGACGGGATGCACCAGCAAATCCTTCCCTATGAAGAGAAATAAACCTGTTAGCCTTCTCTGCAACATTTATTTGGGCTAATTATAATTTATGTATAAAAACTCACCAATCAAGTACTCATCCTCAATTGAGAAAGTGGCGACATCATCAGGATACTCTACCCATAAAGGTCTGTAAAAAGTTAGAGAATTAATTATATGAACCCCTAATTAACACTGTATGAGATCTGCTATTTTCAAAATCTAATACCACATTTAATAAAAAATGATATTAGTTCTCACAAAGTTAATTCACAAGAGTGCAGAATCGATCTGTTGAGCGTATGGACTGAACAAAACACTGGCGTTTTCAGATAACTAATCTAAATGCCTCTGCATTCATGTGCTTAACAGAAACGTGTGTGATTGATTATAATTCTTGATGCAAAAAAAAAAAAAAAATCAAAAATCTGATGCAACATGAGTAGATCTAAATGTAATGCTGCAATCAACTCTTCATACATGTTCACATTTCACTTTAATCATGAAAGCCATCATTTTTTTGCCCCTTTATATTGAATTTGGAGGGCATTTTTTCCCCAAGCCCCCACTATTTCCAGACCTTGATTGTCTTGGGCTGACTCACCTCATAACAGGCTGTCCGGTGCGGTGTGTGTTGTAGAAAAGCTGGTACCAGTAAGGCAGGAGAGCATATCGCTGGCGTATCGACTCCCGGATGAGGGCGGTGTTCTCGGATCCAAACAGCCAGGGTTCCCTGCGGGGTGTGTCTATGTGAGCATGTGCACGGAAAAACGGCTGGTAAGCTCCCGCCTGGTACCATCGCACCAAAAGTTCAGCGCTGGGATGTTTAAAGAAGCCACCAACATCAGCTGAGGAAGAGGAAGACAGGTACAGCATGAGCGGTTACCAGCAGACAATCAACAGGCCATACTAACGTTATTATTATTAGAGTAACATACACTACTGGTCAAAAATATATGTGGAAAAAATTATTATTTTTTAAAATGTTTTCCAGTCATTCTCATTTACGGACATAAAAAATATTATTGACTGACCCATAATGTTAAGTTTTTCATGTAGAATGACATAATTTGCCTTTAGTTCATTTATGTCATTTATAACTTGACTTAAATTATATTGCATCACTGTTTTCTTGTGCCGAGTATGAACATCCTTTCGGTTTATTCAGTTATTATACACTAAAATGCAATAGCGGCGTGCAAATGCCACTGAAAAATAACAACAAAAAATGCCACAAATACCATCACAAAAATGTCCTGGTGGGAATATGATTAAGATATCAGATTCAGTAAGGGTTCATTGTAAAAATATAAAATAAATACATTTTAAAAAAAAATTATAATTCAATACATAGGT